GGGAGACCCTGGTTCGCCCGAGCTTGCCTGCGGGTTTGCTTGTAGCGGGCACTTTCAGGCTGCCTTTGTCCCGCTGACAGTAGCGGTAGAACTGCAGCTGCTGCCCGGAGAGACTTCTGCCTGTGCCAGGGCGGCTTCTGAAAGAAGTAAATCGTGGTGTTTGTAAGGAGGCGCTGGGAAAGGCTCGGTGCCCGTGTACGGGGCACCCGGAGCGTCCCTCTGTGCGATTCTGCGTGAGGGGAGCGGCTGATTTGGGGCCTGAGCATGTGAGATGCTGCGAGCATGAAGTTCCCAATGACTTTAGCTACTTTTCTGTAGGTAGTAAGGTCAAGCACTGCATAACTTTCCACTTGGAAGATGGCAGATAGTCAGACTGGTGCTCTCCGGGGTCAGTGTGAGAGTCCGTGTGGGTCCGACTGCATCTCCAGCGGTGGCCGTGAGCTGCACGCAGCCAGCCCGGCTGCTTTCTGTGCCGGATGCCCCTCGGGCTCTTCAGCATCTTCGCTGGCTGTGTCAGGTTGTCAGTACACCTCTGCATGGTGCTTTCACTATCTTTTTGCGGACTTGTTATGCCTGATTTTGTGTAATTCCTTTCTGGACCTCCTTCTACTGTCCGCTTCTGCAGCCCTGGTGGCAGCAGTCACTACCTGCTGTTTGAAGATAGGTAATTTTCTCTGTTTTGTACTGATTCCTACTAGTTTTCTGGAGTGCCCTCTAGTATTAGTATGGTGAGATTTGGTGAACAACAACTGCATGTTCAGTTTATGCATAATGTTCAAAATTTTGGAAGCTTTTGGTACATCAGTTATCAGCTTTCACCTCTCCAAACTGAACAATCTTAGTCCTTTTGGTTTACCATGGAGGCAGATATTATGTCTCATGGTTTAGTTGCCTCTCATCTGTACTGTTTTTCACTCCACAGCACTGCTCTTAAAGCAGCGTGATCTGCAGATGCGTGTTCAAGATGTGGGTAGGGCACAGTTTTACACAGTGGTAAAGTACTGCCTTCAGTCTTGCTCTCAAAATCCTTCCTGTTGGTGGCCAACGTTTTGTTGATGTCTTTGGCTGCTGTTGCATGTTGACTCTGTGATTTCAGTGAGCTGTCACTTTAGATGACTCCAAAACTTTTCTTGAGTTCAGAACTGCCAGTTCTGAGTTATTGTCATGTAGGCTTGGTTCTCTTTGTTTATACGTTACATTATACACACTGAAGCTCCTCTTACATCACTTTTGCCTGCTCACTTGGTTATCTGCAAGTCTTATACCATTCCTTGCCCTCATAGCATTTGATTGCTTGTGGAGGCTTAGGATCATCAGAAAATCAGATTTCATTCTTCTCCAAGTCATCAATGAAGACACTGAATAAAAACAGTCTCAGCACTGATTTCTGGTGACTTTTCTTTATACTGAAAAAAGACCACTTAGCCCAGTGCTTTGCTCCTTATAATTTTAAGCAGCCTTGAATCTGTAACAGAACCTTTTTCCTAATCCTGTGTCAGTTCAGTCTGCTTAGTCCCACCTTCAGTGCAGGGCTTTGTCAAAGGCTTTTTGAAAAATCCAACTGTCTGCTGGGTTCCTTTATTGCTTATTGACACTTCGTAGACTCCAGCATGTTCACAAGGCAGTGTTTTCCTCTCATATGGGGGGGAATTACAGTCAGTAATGCTGACTCTTTCATTAAAGATTTTTGTCAGGAAGCAGTAAGTGCCAGGAGCTTCCTGAGGGCAGAGCATGATAACGAGGTGGATGGAGGTAGTGGCTTCATCATCAAAGGACCTGTCCCTCATGTCCAGGTAAGGTGAGTGGGGCAGGCCTGGGCATCCTGACTTGGGGATGATAGCCAGGGTCAGATGCAACCCTGTGCAACCCAGATGCACTCAGTGCTCTGACATTGTGTTTATCTCTTGGCTTAGTGATCTTATTCCTTGTTTTTTTACAGACCTTTCTGTCTTGCCAGGGATGGAAGATTTATTAGTCTGTAGCTCCTGGCTTCCCCTCTGGAGCCCGATTTATATTGGAGTTACACTCCCAGGCTACCAGTCCTCTGGCAGGGTGGCCTTATGTAATGATGGGTTACACACCTTGGCCAGCAATTTTGCATGTGAATTCCTTCAGGACTCTTGGCTGAATGCTATCGAGTACTGTGAGCTTACTCTCATTTAATTTATCGTGTGTAATATTTACTGTATAATTATTTGAAATCTAGTTTGTCTGGTACAAATAGTGGGTTGAATGTGGGAATCTCCTAGCCATCTGCAGCTGTGACTGACACAGTATTACTTGGCTTCTTTGATGTGAGAAGACATCCCCAAATGTTCATTTTCATATGTTTCTCATCAAATACCCATACTGGTTTACTGTTATATGATTTTTTTTTTGTGTAGTCTTTCACTGTTTTGGTCTCAGGAAGCCTTCTCAAGATGGGAGAGCTACTGAAAGATTAAGTTTTGCTCTTCCATCTTCATGTAGTGAAGACTGTTAAAGCTTGGTCTTTTCATAAAGTACCTCTAAGAACTGGATTGCATGAGAAACTTTAATGAATCACCTCTCTGAATGATCTTTCTTTACAAAGATTTTTCTAGGGTTTGAGAGGCGTGACTGCTTAGCCTCCAGCTAGGTCAGAAATTTGAGCCAAAACTTTGAAATTTCAGGATTTATTCTTTTTTTTTTTTCCTCTGAGAGGCCTGAGCTGCTGAAAGGATCTGAAGAAATTGCGATTGATGGAGGTTTTGATTGTGCTTAACTTCTACCATACCTGTCTATATCCATCGTAGAGAAGATGTGCAGAAATACAATTTACCTTTCTAAGCAAAGTTGCTGAGTGGTTAAATTGAAATTTCTGTTTTCAGAAGTGTTTTCCAGTAATGAATCAAATAATAGTTTTTAATTACTAATGCACTGGAAACCCTACAGTATTACAGCACTTGGAAAACTCTATACATTTGTATGTGCTAGTTCCATTAGGAGTTTAAGGAAAACATAAAAATAACATTTTCTGGTCTCAGAATGTTTTTGTCATCACTGCCTTGCTTACGTTTGTCTCAGACTGTTACATGTCAGTATGTAACAACTGTATGTTAAAATAACGCTTCAAATGCTTCTTACAGCTTTTGAGGACACACTTTAAAGACTTGACACTCTTAAAACTATTCAAGAGTTAGCCAAACCAGCCCAGGTAGGTTTGGAGATTGAACATACTGAGGAGGGGAAAGGAGGTGGAAGCTCCGATGGGGAATTGTTGCAGGTTTTGCTTTACTCCAGAGCCAAGTTTTTCATCCTAAATTTTCATTTGCTTGATTTCCTCCCATTAATTTGAAAGCAGTGACTGAATGCACCACGAAGTATCTCAGGGATTATTTGTTTGGTAGCACACTAGGTGGAATTTCAGGAAGCTATTGCATATTTCTCTTGTGTTATCCTACTGTGGGAGATGCATTGCCAGAGCGCTCGGCAGCCAGCTCTGACGGAAGCACTTCATGGAGAAACCAGCAGCCTAGGCAACCTGAAGCAATAGTCACTTGCAGGCCTATGCTATTCTTTCTTTGCCAAATCACTACTGCCTGTACTATGTTTAGAGCTATATACTGCACTATCTTTTAGCAAAATGGAAATGTCTTTCCCCTCCCACTCTTGCAAAAACTGCAGTGTTTGACAAGTGCATCCGAACACCTGCTATACTGGGAGCTGCTGGACAATCATAAATAATTGACCTCTGAGCAACTCTGACACATTTCATACTTTCCCTGAATTTATTATCTGTAATTAATATTTTCTCACTTATCCTTTATTTTTTGCTGGTACTTAAAATCAAATAGTATAATACCTTTTTTTGTTAGAGCAGCCTAGATTCCTTTTCCACATTTGTTGAAAAGCTGACCTCGGCGAAGAGTGAAGGATGTGTTTTTTCTATCTCTTGTAGCAGTCAGGAGCCTATGGAACAGGGAAGGGAACGTTCGTAAAAGGCAGGGGTGTACAAAATTCACCAGAAGATTGTGCAGCCTTTGAAACCACAAAAGAAGGTGCTATAAAACACTAGTCAGCAAAACACTGAACAGCTCACCTTCGAGCCATGTGCCTTGCATGTGCATGCAGTCATCGTGGTGTCTGCTTCAGCTCCAAAGCTGAATGGAAGGGGAGAAATGCTGAGCATGTAGTATTTGTACCAAACTGTGATGCAGTTAGGTTCAGTCAGCACCTTTTTTTCTTTCTCATTGTTTTAAAATATCTTAGAATTATGTTTTTCAGTGTTTAATTAAGTTTTATTTTGCAAATTTAATGGCTTCTTTCAGTATCAATTAGAATTACAGTATCCATTCCAAATGTGTACCTTTTATGAGTTTAATGTTACATATTTGATTAAAACTGTGGCAGGCCAAGTATAGATTTTATTCAAAAGCCTTTATTAATTAATACCCATAGAACCATGATGACCTAATGCTGTGGCCAGTCTTTGCTTAGATGTACAATTCTTCCAGTCTTCTGGGAATGTTTGTCTGTTTGCTTGGCAAATACTACAACACATCACTGCAGCAATGGCGTTCGGAACGTTTGATTCACTCAGATCCAGATGACTCATGAGCTTCCTTTTAATCTGTCAGTGGACATGCTGCATCTCCTTAGCCAATATTTAAATTTTTCCTAACTGTGGTTGGTGTAGATAAACTAATTTTATGGACTAAAAATAACTGTAGGTGAGTGATGCTGAGCATCTCCTGACGGAAATGTTGGTGACCCACTAAGCTCTCTGAACAGCAGTATGGGGGGCCCTGAGGAGTCTGACAGTGGAGCGTCTCTACTCAGTAAAGCCTTTGGCTGTGCAGAGATGAGTGGCAGCGCTGCAGACGTGTATGTGTAATAGCAGTAGGAGCATCAGTGGAATGTGTGGTATGGCTAGATCTTTATTGCATGTAGAAAGTAACTTGGGAGAGTTCTGTTTGGTCTGTGGATCTTCTACCAAACTTAACATTGCTCATGTTTGAATTGTGTAAATGTTGCCAGGGTTACCCCTGGCCTTCCTTGCTGTTTTTATGCTAGATTGTCTTTTGGGGAGTGAGTGGGTTGTTAATGCCAAGCTTTTTGCCTGCTAATGAGGCCACAGCTGTGGGCAAAAGTTAGTCTTTAGTTTGCTTGTTTAATGTCTCTGTGCTGTCAGAAGACTCATCTTGAAGACATACCTGCAGGCCTGTAGGCTGTTATGTGGACTGCTGGGTGGACTGTTTTAAGGTAGAGATGAGAAGATGGCAAACTGGTTTTAGCAAGGGTGTTTCTAGATGGATATGCAGCACCATGCTAATTGCTGTAGAATCTAGGAGATGTGCTGAAGGGCTGTCTTTATTTTCAGAGGAGGATGATCGTTGATCAATGTTTTCAGAAACAAAACTGTTTTCAGAAACAAAATACCAAAATAACGATGATCATCGTTATTTTGGTATTTTGTTTCTGAAAACAGTTTTAACTATAAAAAAAAGATTATATTCTGGTTAAGAAACTTCAGTGTTCAGAGCTGTGAAAGTCATACCAAATTCCTCTGAATTAATTTAATAAATTAAGAAACAACCCCTGAACTTTAACCCAAAATTAACCTTAAAGGAATTAATCATACGTTCTAAGAGGGTTGATGGCTTCAGCACGTTGAGAACAAGGTGGTATTGAAATGTTATGTTTAAAAAAGAGTAAGTACAAACAGAATCTTAATTTCTGATTGATTTAGGAAGTGGAATCTAGGGTGTCCATTTGGTTTTGTGTTGCTGATCTCCATGTTTTGGGTGAGATCTCTTCATGTTCCTGCTGGAGCATGACAGACACTTTTGGGGGCGTATAACCTATAAAGAGTCTTTGACCTGTAGTCAGAAATACTGGAGAGTTCCCCAGGAACTACTTTTCTTCCCTTTGCCATTTGTAACTCACAAAGCATCTTGTACAAGTTATGCAGCGATACTGAAGATGCATTGTACTGCACAGTACACAACTGTATTGTTACTATCATCTTTTACAACTGCATGGAGGAGACTACGCCTGAGAATTAATAGATTCCTAAATAGAAAAAAAAAAAATCATTAATATGTACTTGATCTATTCAGCTTTAGGACAGATGACTCTGCTTAATGTTTGGATAATGGTGAGCAACCTATTTTGTCCTGCACTGTTATTTAAAAGGAATCTTAGAATAGGACTAATACTGACATGACAGAAAAGCACAAATACCTGTTTCTGAAGAGCCTTTGGGGTTTTTATTCCTTCCTCAGATGCAGCTGTGGAGATCATTCTTGGTTAGACAGCTGCTCACTGCAGTCTCCTGTAGTGTAGTGTATTTCTTCTGTTTTGTCCATTTGGTTCAAGGTCTTTCAAGCAAAAATGCAAAAAAGAGGTCAGAACCCAGGTGAGATCTCTGACTCTAAGAACATATTCAGATTCCATATTAAGCAGAATATTGCTTGTCTGTAAGTTTTGCTTGAGACAAAAAATGATGGGGAAAAAATTGCTGAATACATGCATACACACACAAACATATAAGGACAGCCTAGCTCATGCAGATGATAAATACTGTGTCATCAGGCTAAAGCTATTCTTTCCACATCGAATCATTTTACTGGTAACAAATTATTTCAGTTGTGCATGGAGCTAAACATTGCACAAACTTCATTAATGAATCTGACTGGCAGCTAATGAGAACTGCATCTTAGCCATACTGATATCTGCTGTTCTTAAAGCGTTTCTCCTGTGGACATAGCTGTCTACTGGTGTTATGGGAGCTTATAGAGAAGCTTTGCAGTAGCATGAATGTAAAATTCATAGACATCCCCAGGCACAATTCTTCTCATCTCCCTGCAAGGCCACAGTAGAAGTGCCTTCTCACTGGTAGCGGTGATGTATAAAGGCATTTTTCTCACTAGAGGATGGAGTTCATAGGATTTAAGATATTCATCTCTCTTCTGTCATTTTTACATCTGACAAAATTGTAAATATGCCATGGTAGTGGTATAAGGATTCTCAACCCTCAGACTCTTAATCTGTGACCAGAATGCCACTGCTTAATTTCACCAGAAGTCAGTGTCTTTGGCTTGGGCTGTAGAACAGGACTAGAACACTGAAGACATCAAATGGCCTGGGAGAGGATAGCAAATGAGAACTAGGCTGTATTTCAATTGATCCTTTATTTCATTGGGAGAATTTTATGTTAGGAAGAGACTTGAAAAGAAGGCTGGAAATAAGGAAACTACCAAAGAGATTTTTGTGTGTATGTAAATTGTCTTACCAAATGCCTACGGCAGCAGTATAAAGTAGTTTCTATCTAGCAGAGGTAGTATCTTGATAAAATCTGCATATACTACTGTATGTTGGCCTTCTGAATATTTAGTTCCTGATCCTTTGATGCCTTTGTTGTGTGTAAATTAATTAATTTTTAGCATTCCTTTTACCCTGACAAAGATCATGAAAGAACTTCTCCAACCTTGATTGACAGACCCCAACAGTGATGACAGTACTCCACCCTTCTCTACAGAACTGTTAACAGAACTGAATAACGTGGCTTGCATGTTTTTTATCTCATTTTTTATGGGCATGTCATCCTTGGTGAGAAGTCTGACAAACGTGTACTTTGCTTGGAGTGCTCTAATAGGTTCTTCTGGCAATAAAAATGGTGTTTCAGACTGAAAATATAGCTTTAATAGTCATGTTGTTTGAGAAGGAGTTTGCATGGGCTGCCTGAAATTCTGGAATCTCTCTTTTTGTGTGCATGTGATAGTATGCTTATCTGGGAATGTGTACTGCGTTGCAGAAGTTTTTGATCTCACTGGTGCCAGTTACTGCATAAAGTTATTTCTGATTTTCATAAACACATTTTAAATCAGACTCAGGAGTAGTATGCATAGGTAACATGAAACATCACCGAGGGCCAGATGTTCAACCGCTGTGTAATGACATTGATCCTTCTGAGGACAATGAAATAATTCCAGTTTATGCAACTTAAATATTGAGCTCTAAACTTTTGTTTACAATGAAATACACAGTCACTCCCCTGCCTGAGTACAAGTAACCTCCAGACATCATCCTGATCATTGTTTTAATGGATATCTCAGGCTGTTTGTACACTTAATTTCTTTGTTTTTCTCTCTTCTTAGTGTTGGAGCACTCCTGGGTCTGTCAATAGCAGCAGTGGTCCTCTTTGCTTTTATCATCACTGTGTGTGTTCTCTGTTACTTGTTTATCAGCACAAAGCCACGCAGCAAACTGGATACTGGTTTAAGCTTACAGATGGCAGGTAAGACCAGTTGTTATTGACATACGTTATCTCCTGCAGAGGAACAGCCTTATTCTGTCTTTAAATGGGTGTGGAGGAATCCAACAGTGTGTATATTCTTTCTAACGGGGACCTCAAGATGTAGTCAAGCTATCCTGCTGTTTTACCTTCTGAATGAAACCTTTACCAAACTCAAATGAAAAAAATTTAGCACAAGCTCAGTATATTTACTGCTAGGAAGAATGCAATACTTCAAAATACTGGATAAGGGTGTAAGAAAAGTCCCTTTATCAGGAAGAGGCTTAACTAGTTAGTTGATCTGGATTTCCTGTCAAGAGTACGTAAACAGGTAGTAGTGATTTCATTCTAGGAATAAAAAAGAATCTCAAAAGAGTAAGTATATTTTCTTGTGAAAGGGAGAGATCATTTTTTTTCTTCCTGATATAGGATCCAGTCTTTAGACTAGAAATCTAAGACTCTCTGCTTCAGCCCCAATAGCCCATACCTTTGTGCCCAAACTGCATCGGTGTACGCCTGTGGGGACAGTCTGTTTAGCCAGTGCTAGCCCACTGGCATGGGAATACCTGTAGCTGCTGCTACATTTCACTATGTTGGTGAAATCTGACTGCAAGTCGTGATGGTGAGATGGGGTGTGATAAGTTTCGCCCTCTGCCTTGGACTTCCTAAATGTTTAAATGTAGCTTCAGTAGTTCAACCAGTAATGTTGTAGGAAGTTAAGGGAATGGTGTACTTATTCAGGCCTTGGAAGTTGAACAAATTGAAAAGGGAAAATAATTCTTGCAAAAAAAGTCCCCTTACCTCAAATTCTTTTTTTTCGCTAGTTTTTAAAATGCTTCCATATGTGCGTGGAATAAATGACCAAGGAGCTACTGTAATTGTAGCCTATTATACAGCAGTAAGCCCCTTCCTGAGAATCATAGAATCATAGAATCATAGAATCGTTAGGGCTGGAAGGGACCTTCAAAGGTCATCTAGTCCAACCCCCCTGCAAGGAACAGGGATATCTCCAACTAGATCAGGTTGCTCAGGGCCTCATCCAACCGGGCCTTGAACGTCTCCAGGGATGGAGCATCCACCACCTCTCTGGGCAACCTGTTCCAGTGTTCTACAACTCTCATGGTAAAAAATTTTTTCCTAATATCCAACCTGAATCTACCTCCCTCTATTTTAAAACCATTACCCCTTGTCCTATCACAACTGGCCCTCCTGAACAGCCTCTCCCCATCTTTCTTGTAGGCCCCCTTGAGGTACTGGAAGACCGCTATAAGGTCACCCCGGAGCCTCCTCTTCTCCAGGCTGAACAGCCCCAACTCTTTCAGCCTGTCCTCATAGGAAAGGTGCTCCAGCCCTCTTATCATCTTCGTGGCCCTCCTCTGGACCCTCTCCAACTGGTCCATGTCCTTCTTATGTTGGGGACTCCAGAACTGGACGCAATACTCCAAGTGAGGTCTCACGAGGGCAGAGTAGAGGGGGAGAATCACCTCCCTCGACCTGCTGGCCACGCTCCTCCTGATGCAGCCCAGGACGCGGTTGGCCTTCTGGGCCGCAAGAGCACATTTGCCAAGGTTGAGAGAGCCTATTATACAGCAGTAAGCCCCTTCCTGAGAATCATAGAATCATAGAATCATAGAATCGTTAGGGCTGGAAGGGACCTTCAAAGGTCATCTAGTCCAACCCCCCTGCAAGGAACAGGGATATCTCCAACTAGATCAGGTTGCTCAGGGCCTCATCCAACCGGGCCTTGAACGTCTCCAGGGATGGAGCATCCACCACCTCTCTGGGCAACCTGTTCCAGTGTTCTACAACTCTCATGGTAAAAAATTTTTTCCTAATATCCAACCTGAATCTACCTCCCTCTATTTTAAAACCATTACCCCTTGTCCTATCACAACTGGCCCTCCTGAACAGCCTCTCCCCATCTTTCTTGTAGGCCCCCTTGAGGTACTGGAAGACCGCTATAAGGTCACCCCGGAGCCTCCTCTTCTCCAGGCTGAACAGCCCCAACTCTTTCAGCCTGTCCTCATAGGAAAGGTGCTCCAGCCCTCTTATCATCTTCGTGGCCCTCCTCTGGACCCTCTCCAACTGGTCCATGTCCTTCTTATGTTGGGGACTCCAGAACTGGACGCAATACTCCAAGTGAGGTCTCACGAGGGCAGAGTAGAGGGGGAGAATCACCTCCCTCGACCTGCTGGCCACGCTCCTCCTGATGCAGCCCAGGACGCGGTTGGCCTTCTGGGCCGCAAGAGCACATTTGCCAAGGTTGAGAGACTGAGTGTCTAGTTAACACAGTCCACTTCATACCAAACTTCTTGTGTCTTGTTTTGCTCTGCAGAGAATGCAGGCTTTGGTCTAAAAGTGGTTTACAGGGCTGTCGGGAAGTGCAAAGCCTTCCTTTGGAGCTATGTATGCTGAGCAAGCTGCCAAAGTGAAAGTCACACATTCAGCAAACTGCTACTAATCTGCAAATGGAAAACCTGACACCTGTCGTGGAGTGAGGGAGTGGAAATAAGACCTGCTACCTAGAACGGCTGAAATAAACTCTTGTGTGGGATGAACAAAATGCTTAGTGATCTTTTACAAGATGGTTTTGCTCTAATTATAAACTGGCATTATGCTTTTGAACATGTTGCTGTTCTAACTTCTTCCCTCAGGTTTTCCTGCTATGGCATCAGCTCTTAATCCTTTGCCAGGAGAGCAGTGCTGTTTCTCATGCTTTGTATTTTTGTGCCTGGCATGTTTGGCATATGAGGAGCTGGGAAGGAAGGAGGCAGGTGCTATTGCACTGCTGCTGCCAAGTGATTGCATATTTCTCTACAAACTCGAACCCTGCTGCAAAATCACATCCTGCTTTGACACTGGAGATAGTTTCTCTCTCCTATCATGAGGTGAACAGCATCCCAGTGTCCCCCACTGATGAGCCAGTGTTCGCGTAGGTGTCCTGTCTCTCATGATTCCAGGTGTGAGGAACTTCAGGAAGCTGGGAGATCTTTGCTTTTTCCTAACCACCTCCTGTGTTGTTTTGAGCTTTATTCAGTCTGCATTGCTTTGTATTTAAACACTGTTTTGACTTTGCTCTCATCCTGTGTTTTCACTTATTATTCTGCTTCTTTGGCTGCTTTGAATGCCAATTATTTCACATCTAAATTCTGATAGCTTTAGCTGTCGATGAGGTGGGCTGCCAGAAATTGAAAGCCAGTTGCTTTGCCAAGGTTGAGAGATCTTTGAAAATGTTGAAGGATTTCATTGACAAGCCTGAGTGCTTATCTTCATCATACTAGGGTTTCTTTTTCATGGAAGTCATGCAAGGTCTGAGTATTTTTTGAGATGGCTGGCTAGCTGCTTTCAGGCCCGAGGAACAATAAAAGCAGTCCCTCTCCTCTTTCAGTTTTTCTGAGATTTGAGCATAATTATATATAGGCAATAAAAATGAATTAAAAAAACCCAACAGTTTTTTAGAAGCTTCAGAAAAATGTAGGCCTGAGGACTGAGTTTTAACTGTGAACTCAGTTCAGCCCTGCTTTTTCCGAACCAGCATAATCTTACCTGTAGATGAAGGCTGTGTCATACATTGGGTGTTGCGTGATGTCTGTACCCCTGGAGCATTCAGAGAACACTCGTTTATGAAAGCAGTATTTTTTATTATATTCCATTTCACCCATAATTTATCAGCTCAGTTGGAGCTCTGTATTTCATTAAACATGCAATTGATTATTGTATGCCTTTCCTCTGTCATGTAATAGTCCAAGTTAGTCATTGTTCTTTGGGCTCATCCAAGATCTCCTAAATATAGAAGTGTTGGATTTTTACAGAAATTATTTCAAGATTGATCATAAATCTAACAATTATGTGGATATACAGCCTTTGTTAAAGCTTACTGTTCTGCAAAAGGCAGATCAAGTGGAATTTGCCTCTATTTAGTCTTGAACCAATGATCTCCAATAGTATCAATACAGATATTACATAAAGGGTTCCTGAGTTAGCTGAGCATGTTGGCCCTAGTGAAAATTAGCTTTTTAATGAGAACTGAATTTTGAGAAGAATGAACTCAGTCACTGGTGTAGACCAGGAATAACTAATTAAATGTTAGTGGAGTTATACTGATGTAAACTGTTGTTACTCATTTCTATTTCTAGTATCATAGTGTGGATTGTAGAGTAAATCCCTTATGTACAGGCAAATGATAAGATCCCATATCTCAAGGATTTTAGTCTAGCTGCTTGTCTCCTCAATAAAAAGCAGCAACGTACTTTACCTCTTTCAGTGCAATCCTCTCCTTTTACAGTCAAAGTCTCAGATCTTCACACATTGCTTTCTTATTGTTTGCACTCAGAACGTGAGGTTCACCTAGGATTTGGCTCATGGATTAATGGTCTGCCTTACTGAAGTGTCAAAGTGCTTCATAGCTTTTGCTCTATCCTCACAGCTACTTTTCTGAAGTAGGGAGGTGTTATTAGCCCCATCTTACAAGGAGACAGAACTTCAGGGAAGTGTCATATTTTGAGTGCTTTGTGTGTCAGTCTAGACAGTAATGTCCAGTGGAATTTCAAAAGGACGTCACTAACCAGAAGACCTTTGTCCTTTTGCATAAGCAAAAACACAGCTCTCAGACTAGCTTGACACAGAAATTATGTGGTACAGAGAATTGAGCTGTGCTTTTTGAGACCAAGGTGAAGATTCAAATAATTGGACCATACTTTTTCTTAGCATAATGAACTTGCTTTTTGATCATACAGGTTGCTCAGTAAGCTCTTTCTGAGAGAAAGGATTTTTCATTGAACTCATTGTAGGTGTTTTTTTCTCCCATTGGAAGACTGGAGAACTGTAAAAGCCTTTCTTGGTAAACAAAGGCCCCAAAGAAATCCAAGCCCTGAGAATGCAAATGTTATGTATTTTCCTAATATGAAAGGAAGGTTGTTCATATGCTTTGTTCTCCTTCTAACCATAACACTTTGTGCAAAAAGTTTATTCCCTTCAAAATGTAGGAACCAGGGCGTCACAAGTTTTTTGTTAAGGCTGAATGAAGAATGCTGGAGCATCTAAGGGAGATGAGGACTGAGTAAAGATTGCATAATTGTCAGGAGAGAAGTCATAAACAGGCAGAAAAGGAGGAATCTAGAGGCATATCTGCTGCTCACTTCAGGAGAAGGTGCACAGATACTTTCCTTGAACAGGCGGCTGATAGAAGAGTGGCCATCTGTGCTGGCCCCTTAAAATGGGTTTTGCCATCAGAGGTAAAAAGGTGGATAGAGACTTTCCACCTTGGTGGCCCAAACAGTTTGTAAACACATTTTGAGTTGCCTCTGTATTTCTGCCAGCGTTAGTCTGGGAAGACCTGTGGGGTGAGGTGTCCTATATCACTGCAAGGTGAGAATAGGAAACTACATTTTATGATGGTAACTAACATTTTCTTTTAAAATTTAGCACAGGAAGACCTCTGTAATGCATTCAGAGTCAAACAGCAGGGACCTTTGAGTTGGAGTGCAAAGAGAACTGTGGCCTTGTAAATTCCTCATGAGTGCTGGGAAAAATGTGTTTTAATAGAAAAGGTTAATTCCTCATTCGTACAAATTAGTGTCATCAGAGTATGCAAAAGTTCATGTTTTCATTTCATAATAAGGAAAAATTTAGCTTGAAAAATAGCCAGATGACCTTCCTGTCTCTATTTCTCTCCTTAATTAAAGATTCCTCATGGGGTACTATTCAAATATATGAAACATTCAGATATTTTGATAAAAAGGCACCAAACTCTCTCACTTTCTCCTCCTTAGCTTGGTAGAATTATCTGACTTTATAGGTTCTGAAACCAGATAGCTACTGTCCGAATTCAGAGACACCGTGCTTGATTTTAGGAGTATGGATTGATAGCTTTGCTTTCTAGGTTTATCAGTAATTTCCACTGTATGGTCTTTCTGCAGGTGGGTTTAAATTTTCCCCACTTAGGCTACTTTTCTCTTTGCCAGCCATCTGCCTCAGATATTTGTATATAAGAAAAATCAGCTAAATGGGTTCAACTATTTAAAAAAAAATTTTTTTTTTCTTTAGAAAATGAATAAATTCCCAATTTTGGGGCTGGGAATTCAAATTTAGTGGAATGGTAGCATTAGCTCAAAGTTACATCACTAGGAAAGATTAAATTTGAAAGTGTTTAAATTAGCTTCCTTAGCTTTTAAATTTCCCAGGCTTTCTTGTAGCAGTGAGTTTTTTTCAGCTCATTAAGAGTCATTTTTTTACTGAAAAGATACCCATAGATGCTGTAAGCTGGTTTAGATAGGAAATCTAGACAGGCTTCAAAAACAGGGTGCCTTCACTTATAACTGATAAGGGTTTTTTTTTTTACTTTATGGGTTTGGTTTTGGATCATAGCTGAAATAACGCACTAAAAAGACTTGGTTTCAATTAAGATCTTGGCTTAAATGTTTTTCTGCAAACTTTTTGAAATGTGAAACTATCAAATCCCATTTTGATATTTTGAAACCAAACTGCAGGTTTTTTCAATTCAAACAATAAAATGCAACTTTCAGAACATTTCAAAGCCAAATAATTCCTTTGCCCAATTTGCTTTGGTTTAGTTTTTTTAAATAAAAATAATAGAATTCTCAACTTTTTATCCCTATTTGATATAGGGAACCTTTTTAATCCTTTTTTTAATCCCTTCTGTCTTTGTTCTCTGTGTTGGCCCAAGCAGTGGGAAGGCAAAAAATGAGGTAAGTGTTGGACTAGAGGCTAATGGGAAATTCAGCCTGGGAGGAAGGCTGATGAGCTTCATAAGAAGACTTAGATGAGAAGATGGAGCAGGGAGAGGTTTTGGAACGGCTAGATAAAAGAGAAACTGCAGCTGAACAAGGACCTACCTGGGTGTGCCTGGGAGCATGTGGAAGAGTGACTGGGCTAATGGGGTTGAGAGCAGGGAGGCAAAGATGCTGGAGGGGATGGAGAAGCTCCTGAGAGGGCTGGGGAGTGGAACAATGCCTGGGGAAACATAGGAAAAGGAAGCCTTGCCGATGGGGAGTGTGCACAGGGTTGGAACAAGTAGAGATTTAGGGCGAAGAAAAGAGATAGGAGGGACTTAAAGTATGAACTGAGCTGGTGGTTCATAGAGACGGGGACTAGCATGGGAGGCATAGCAGCAGAAAACTAGGACTGGAAACAGAGTGAGGAAAGCTGAAAGGGAATGAAGAATGAATATAAGGTAAGAAAGAGAAGATGTGAAGTTCAAAGTGTGGTCAGAAAAGTCTTTCCTCTAGAGCTTTGCTTTCTCTGCTGTCAGTGGATATCAGTGGAAACCACTGGCCGAGCATCACTCTTCTCCCTTCTTGATGGTGACTCACTGCGGGCTGCTTTTGCTTTGGCTATTGTGATCAGTTGGGCAAACTCAAGTTGTCTCCACTGAATCTAAAGATTCCAGCTCTTCTCCAAGCAGGCGTGTCTATCAGTTATCTGGTGGAATTTTAATGAACTATTATTTTTTAACCTATGAAGTTGTGTTCTCAAAAACAATATTCAAAACTACTAAGCTTCAAAACCAAGCACTCAAAAGATGGGAGATGGCAGAACTTACAGTATTTTGAGCAACTGGTGAAATGCCTAACTAAAAATTGCTTTATTTGCTCCTATCATCCCTTCAATCTTTGAAAAACAAAGGTGACACCTCTTTCATGCAAAGAAGTATTGTGAGCCTCCTCCTGCACAGTGCTCTGGGATCACTGGATGAAAGGTGCAGTGAAAGCATTAGTAACTGGTCATGTTTAGAGAGGAGTGAAAGTTTGAGATTTCTAGTCTGTTTTCTTAAATATGGGAAATTTCAGCCATTTCTGTTAGGAAACACTCTGATTTCCTGCTATAAGTCCTACTTGTACCACAGTGCTACATCTTGATGTTCATTCCTTTTTAACACAACAGTTGCAGCCTCCCATAGGCTCAGGAATGGAAAGTGGAATGGCTGCGGTCTATCTCATCCTCTAAAGACTGTAGAGGAAGATTCCAGGAACTGGTTTTTGTAGTGTAGTGGGCATGTCTGTGTATTACTGCTTGGAACTAAAGGAAGAATAATGCTGTTAGTTTTACTAAAAATGTTTTTGTTTTACAGACAGCGAGACTAGAGGGAGTTCAATATGTTAAAAAAAAGGCACTGGATGGATTCTACTGCTGTAATGAAAATAGGTACAGTGAGAACATTTATTTTTACCTTACTCTATTGTATTCGTATAACCTCTGCTCTGTTTTGTATGTGGTAATGCATATATGGTAAGCATTTTTCAAAATGCCATTATTCTTTGGGTTTTTAGCTTTCTGAAAAGCAATAGCAGACTATCTCTGATTTACTTATACGTTGCCCTGATGCTGTCCTTGCATGGAGAAATGTATGCAGAGACTTGAATAGAGTCCTTCCACAGGGAAATCTCTTCTTGATTTACCTGTACATGAATATTTCTTCATGGTTGTATGCCAGAGAAGATTACATTCCCCTTGTGCTGTCTTTTTCCTTTCCCTGATGCTGTCCAGGATGCACCAGAGCTTACTAAGGAGGCAGTCATTGTAACTTATCATTCGTAACAAATTCTTTAGCAATGCACTGCAAGGCTCCTGTGTGACAAAGGGTAAGAGCAGTGAAGTGTCTGGTGGGTAGTTCAGTCATATTCTGCTTCTTGGGGATTCGAGGGCTGAGTCAAGTCTGATAGAGAACTGGAGAGGGTTATCTTGCAAAAAATGAAGTTTCATATGCTGACTTGATTTTTATGCTGAAATCATCTTTAAAGGTCAAACTGCCTATGGCACAGACCATGCAAAATAGTATTTAAAACGTCTGCCAGTACAGATGAGTTGTACTTCAGATTTAAGAAGAATTTGAGTAAGGCAAAAGACTTTAGATGGCATGAAACATGCATTCTACTTTCTGCAGGGCGTGAAAGCTCATGGCTGAACAGCCACAGAGTGTGAGAATAGCCACAGATCAGCAATGCCTGTCACAGGAGGAAAAAAAAAAAAGTGGGCCTGTTAGCTTAGCAATTGTTCTTAGATGAGCAGGAAAGTAAAAGTGTCAGAGTTCCCCTGCTTCATGTATTTTCTCTTGTACCCTTAAAAAAAGCCACACTGCACCGTAAGTGCAAATGCATCTTTCTCAGCACTTCTTATCAGTATAACAGGTTGGTTTGGGCTGCTTCTCATCCTGAAAATACTGAAGTGTAACAAAACTCATTTTGAAACTCCGAGCCACCTCCACACGTTTTTTTTTTTCTGCTGTTGCAAATAAAGTGGCTTGTGGGAGAAAAATGCCATGGGAAGACTAAAAAGGATCCTGCAGTCAGAAAACCGTCTGTAGTGAGAAAAGCCAAAAATATCTGCGGCAGGCACCAAGAGATGAGACCTCAGTTCAGGTCTGTGAATGTGGTGTTACTTTCTGAAGGCCATGAGCCTCTCTCATTTCATTGACCTTCAGTTTGCCTGCCTTCCACTGTGTTAGAGACTAATGTTTGTGGAGAGCCCTGAAGTGTAGCCTTCTAACCACTAGTGCTTGCAGGAAGAGAGAAAGGGGGAGAGAATTGAAAGGCTAGCTGCAAAGGACTGCTTGTAGGGTTTGAATGCACGCATTATATAAAGATCAAAAAATTTATAAGCTTTTTTGTAGATGAACTATCCAATTCTTTTTTGTTGACAAAATGAGGCTGACATTATCATGACTCAAAATAATTGAGACCTCTTTTGGGGCTAAAAGCAGAAAGACTATGCCCTTAGCCTTTGAGCCTTTTTGCTTTTAGATCCAGAATGGAGCAGCCACGAACTTTCTGTGAAGATGAAAAGGGAGGCAAGGATCTGTTCTGAACTTCAACAGATAATCTGCTTAAGTGTTGGTAGGCATTCCAGGTCTCTAATTGATTTTTGTCTGCTGCTTTTTATGTCGTCTGCTTGTTGCAGATTTTGTTCCCTCACCTGTTATGGGAAGCCGCTTCACTGTGCAGTGATAAGCCAGAGTGTCCATCACTTGTGTTTTCTCACAGCAAACCTTCCACTGCTGTGAGAAAGCTACACGTGACAATTAGATTTTTATTTAGCATGCATAGTTCCTCTGCTAAATTCACTGGGTTTTAATTAGGAACAGGACTCCCTACACCCTTGCAACTGATGTAGTTCAGCATAAAATTCAAGCTTGTTTGCATGCTCTTTTCCAGCAAAAGAGGCAAATGCAACTCTTAGCTTTAAAAAGGGAAAGGAAAGGAACTAAGCAGCTGAAGGCATTGCTTCTGACTTGGAGTGAAAATATATCAAATTATTAAACAATTGAGTTACGCACAAGAAAAATCTGACACAGATTTCATGAAGACAAATCGTGACAAACCAGCCTCATTTCTCTCTGTCAAGGTAATTTGCCTGTCAGAAAAATGGGAACAAGTGGCTATGACTACAAGCCTTTATGAAAATGCAGTCAAAAAAGTTTTCAGTGGCTCATTCTCAAACACATTTTTGGAGGGAATGAGGTCTCGGTACTCTATCCCAGTTCAGTAGTAAGAGCTTGACTGAAGGAGTAAAGAGCTTATGTATAAAATTTATGAATGACACCACCATGAGAAGGGTTACCAGACTGGAGGGTAAAACTGCCTTTCAGAATTATCTCAGTGCCCTGGAGAAATAGCCTGAAATCAAAAAGGTGAAATACAATAAATATAAAAGCAAAGTACTGTACTTAAAAAGGAAAAATGAAATCCGCAGAGATATGTAAGGGAGAATAACTAAGTAGTGTGGGGAAAAAAATAATCTGGCTAATTTACTCCGCTGTAAACAGAGTATTGATGTTCTGGGCTCTTATTTTAGTCTGACATACTAAAGAGGGCAACAATATATAGCATGTAAGGTAATAATTTGCTTCAGTTAGTGCTGGCAGCGCCTCTGTTACAGTAATGCTCTTAGGTGTTGATATACTGGAGAAGAGAGAAAACTGAGAAAATCATGAAGGTTTTGGAATGACAGGACAGGCTTAAGCTGGCTTAAGTCTAGAAAAGAAAAGATGAATGACTGTTCAGTTATGTAAAATAGAAGACAGTGATTATTTTCCATGTCTGGCAGGATAAGTAATGTGCTGAATTTCACATTGAAGTAGATCCAGATTTAGTAATTGAAAATATTCCAGACTGCAAGGGTGGAAGTAGTACTGGACCAGCCAATGAGGCAACTTAGGGGACATTCTTCCCCTATTGATTGATGGACATATTGATTCTTCAAAGGGCATGTTGAACAGGCTAGACTCACACTTGTCAAAAGTGAGACAGACGAAGGATCTTTAGTGTGTGTGTGGCTGTCTTAGCCCCAGGTATCCCTTAGCCTATACCAGCAGCCCCTGGCTTTTGCTAGACCGTGTCCAGGTCTGGGGAGGAAATGTCTGTCAAGCTTTTCTGAGTAGAGACAGTTTTGGGTGCTGTGTCAAGCTGTGTGGGTCTGCCTCCTTATCTGGAGAGAAAGTGATGGCCATAATACGAACATCTGAGCTCCCTTCTGATCTGGTATTTAATCAGAAATGCTGTGTGTGGAGATAGAATAGAATATTTCAGTTGGAAAGGACCTACAATGATCATCTAGTCCAACTGCCTGACCACTTCAGGGCTGACCAAAAGTTAAAGGACGTTAAGGGCATTGTTCAAATGCCTCTTAAACACTGAGAGGCAATGGGCATTGACCATCTCTCTAGGAAGCCTGTTCCAGTGTTTGACCACCTCTTGGTAAAGGAATGTTCCTGATGTCCAGTCCAAATCTCTTCTGGCACAGCTTTGAACCATTCACATGTGTCCTATCACTGGATATCAGAGAGGAGAATCAGCGCCTCCATCTCCACTTCATCTCCTCAGGAAGCTGTAGAGAGAAGTGAGGTCACCCCTCAGCCTGCTTTCCTCCAAACTAGAGTTGCCCAAAGTCCTTTGCCACTCCTCATAGGACATTCCTTCTATCCCTTTCACCAGCTTTATTGCCCTCCTCTGGAAAAGGAGTACCTTAACATCCTTCTTAAATTGTGAGGCCCAGAGCTGCACACAGTACTGAAGGTGAGGCTGAACCAAGGCTGAATACAGCGGGATAATCACCTCTTTTGACCAGCTGGTCATACTGTGTTTAATGCTCCGTGGGATGATCTTTGCCCTCTTGGCTGCCAGGGCACGCTGTTGACTCATACTGAGCCTGCTGTCAACCAGATGGTAATACTGGGGGAAGGTACAAATCTAAATTTATATGTCTCATGTTTTGACTTAAGTTGGTCAGAAGTGTATAACCATCCTCAGAGCCTTAAGCAGAAGAAAATCTAGAATCTACGAAAAGTGTCACTGATAACTCAGATAAGTGCCATTCCTCTCAATGAGCCAGTATTGAAGTGATGTTCTCACTGGTTGGGATGCTCTTTGCTGCTAGTTGCCATCTGCCTTGAAATCCAAGATTTCACACTTCAGAACTTCTTTCAGTAGCTGAATTAGCTGAGATTTTCTGGCCAGGCTTCAATACATGTCCATTGTTTTTTGCATATCCAGACAAACATCTGCTTCTAAACCCAGCTGTACGAATAGCTGTTGTGCTTCACATCAGAAGCAATCCTGCTTTAATGAACAGTAATTCCTTTGTATAGAAATTCTTCAAGTGTAGTTTGGACTATATTTTGGTATCCTTCAGGATCAAAGGCACACATTGTGTGTCTATCAAAAAAAAAAAGTGTGGTTTAATGGAGATATTAGTGGTGCGTTTTCCAAGAGGCACTGCATAGAAATATTGGATGATTGGCTCTGTCTTTACCTGCTAAGCCTTTTTTGTTTTGTTTTAGCACCATTATGCCTTGGGCCTTTATCATGCAAGGTTAAATCCTCACTTGCACAGCAGAGGAGCAACAGCAGATCTACCCATCCACATACGTCCCCAGAGGAGGCATTTAGTGTTTCATAGCTGTAGTGATTCCTTCAGAGGTGTAATTCTTCGCTGTGATTGGTGTTTTGCAGATACAGAGCTGCATCCTTCACAAGGCCCCACAACAAGCTGTTGACAAAGCCAAGTGACTTCAAGAGATTTTTCTGAGCCACAAGGATGAACTGTGACTGTGAGCCACAAGAACCTGACTCACTCTTCCAGAGGGGTTTCCTGGCTGTTACAACCACTGCCGACAACCAGATGCCAGTCTGAAGCTGTGCCAGGATTATGTATTTGTGTATGGTTACTGTACTGAGTAGTGGTATATTTTGATTTGCACATACCAGCTACTGCTGCTAGTCATTTTCGTGCAAACTGTTGTCTTTACCCTGTGCAATTCCAATGAGGTAACGCAGTTGTTGAGCAGAGCAGAATTTGGCACACCACATTGATCAAGGTTTATTTTAAGCTTTCCCTGTGTGCCGTCTTAATGTGGTGTCTTCATGTCATGAATATTGTTGTCTTCAGCCGAAAGTGATTGTTTGGTGCACAAACATATGTGAACGCAGTACCTCAATAAAATCTGGCATTTGTTTGTTATATTTTTTTTAATTGATCTTTTCCCCCCTTTGTTTCCTCAGAAGATTCTCATGGATCTTAAAATTAGTTTGATTGGAGAGTTTCCCAACAAAAAAAGTGAAGTTAGTAAAAAGTGAATTTTTGTAGGGAAGTTTTGATTTCAATAGCTGTTTTCACAGGAAACAGTAAACACTGAAATGAATTGAAATAAACATCCACAAATGTTTTGCAGATTCTCCATCAAAGTATGTTTTAAACTTATTTTGAAGCAAACTTGAAAAATTTTCCAGTAGAGTTCCAGATTGGAGCACTAATTGGTGGGATGTTGAACTTCCTTCAGGTAATCAAAGAGCTCTAATCACACACTTTGTTTCCCCAGAAGTCTTAGGAACAACCAGCATAGTCTAAGCTGTCATATTTGAGCTTTCAAGACTTTCAAGCTATCGGGCTCCAAATCATGAGCATTAATGATAATTATTTCTTATCTTATGAGAGTTCTTTAAGATCAGTGATCAAAAGAATTTCTAAAATATTTAACCGTGTTGTTAGTGAAGGTGGGAGATGAACTGTATCTTCCATTTGCAGATGAAGCTTAATATATTTACTACCATGTCAGTTTTGTCTCTAATTATTCTTCAACTTTTTAAGACCAGATCCTTGCCTGCTGATTGGGAATGACATCTTGGTATGTGACAGTGTTTGAAATTTAAACTTCTTTACAGCTATTTGGTGTTATGCATCCAAAAAACCCCAAGTGTTTCCCTGTCTAAGCTACTCTTAAGTCATATTACTTCTGTGAAATAATACATCAGTGTCTCCAAAAGAAATAGAGAATGTGGTATATGTTCTTTCTATAACTGTTTTCACATACTGTCTCACTAAACTAACATTTACTGCTGTGGACTTTTAGAAAATTAAAACCACATTGGATGCATGAAGAAAATATTTTAATTACAATAGAACCTAAACCTGATCTTCCAGCCTCATAACTTTCTTGACTGGGACTGTCAAAGAGCAAAAGGGAAAAAGTTTTATGATTTATGCCATTTGGTTTCCTTTGCGGATCCCAGACCTGAGTTATACTTCAGGAAGTGTATGCTTCATTTTAAACCACTGACTTACAGAACATGATAAAATGAGGATTTAAGTTATTTCAACTTACAACAAACTTGAACCAACACTTTGTAATTTTTAAATTTTAAAGTAATAAAAGAGACTTTAAAGTAATAAAAGATATTACATTTTATTCTGAGTGTTGCAGATAAAGATATCTTTTATTTTTGTCTCTTGGGCGATTTCTAAATGTTTGATTCCTCGAGTGATGAGGTTTTGTGTCAGCTACTGGGCTTTTTATTCATTTTGAGTATCGAGTATCTTCAGATACCAAAGTAACAGGAGAAAAGTAAAACCAGAATGCAAAAAAAAAGTTTCCAGTTCTTTGCCTGCATCCACTGCCTATTTATGTTTTCTGGTATTGTGTTAGGAAAATCCATTTCTTTGCCCTTTTAGCTAGTTACTTTGTAATTGAGGGTTTCTAAATGCCACAAAAAAGTACCTCCCACGCTGGTTTGATTAGGGGGTTCAGTATGCTGCCCATAGCAGCTTTCAAGCATAATATGCAGCCACAAGGGTGGCTCCCTGTGCTCAATAGACATAATAAGTCTTAATGTACTTGTTAGACATAGCCCTAATTTTTGCCCTGGGAACATTTTAAGCTTAAGTTGTTTAAATGACTGTAGTAAATCAAACTCAGCCCTGTTCTGCTGCTGTCAGCCATACTGAAGCTAATAAAGCTCACAGGAATTGCTATGAGTATTTTTTACTGTTTTTCAAAGTTGAGGAATTTTTCTAATCATAAGAGCAAAATAAAAATGGGAGAAAAATTGTGTCGTAGTGCAATGGGCTTCACAGACTGTGGGATACAGAAAGTGTGCTTTGTCTCTATGTTTATAGATACCGACAGAGCAGCAGCCCCTGGTGGGTTTCATTGGGACCAGGATTACTGTGGCAGCTTACTCCAAAGTGATCTACCCTTCTCATCCCTATCACACTCTAGATATTTTGAGATTCATAACTGCCTAGTCACTTGTAATCTTTAATCTGACTTTGGGTCCAAGGAGAAAATACTAAATCAGTGGTCCCAAAATATCAATCAAGTACTTAATGATTTTCATAATTAATCTCCTCATTTAAGTATAATTCCTGAAAGCTTTGGCCTTCACAATTTCTAAATTATTGAGGAAAGACCAAAGAAAAGTCACAGTTTTACTGAATTAAAATAATTGTTTTAATTGTTTTCCTAATGCTAGAGATCCTCAAGATCGTTCCATCCTTCAAGTTTTGGAAAACATGAGGCAGGAAAAGCATAAAGATTCAGCTACTTCCTAGGAGTACAAATGAGAAGCTTTTAAGTTTTCATCTGTTAGCCTGAAGCTCACAGAAATCCTGTCTCTCAATTTGAGGTGAGGAATTAAAAATTTTGTCAAATAGAAGTGATTATAGCTATAAGGTCAGAGGAGCGGTCAATTATTAGGTGTCAACAGAAGATCTACTTGTTTTCTTAGCCATTCGTTTAGAAGTTTGGAAACTTAAGAAAAAAAATACTTTGTATTTTAACAGATATTGAATAGCTGGATAAAGGTCCATTAATATATTGCATTAAAAGCAGAGGATAAGAGAATTCTGCAATGGACAAGTTTTTGGAGAGTCAGTTCCTAGCCATATGAAGCTATTTTGGGTTCAAAAGAGAGATCTGTGCTACACCGAGAAATTGGAAAAATTGAAAATCTGATCTGAGCAACCACCGCCAACAGGATCTGTTGGAGTTCCTAACCACCTTTTTATTTCTGGAGTAGATCTTTGGAAACGGGGTGCTGGTTTCTAGTGATTAACAGGATTATTGCACTTAGCTTCCCTTTTCTTTCATTCTGTTGTTCCTTTAATGACCATAACAGTGTGGTCTACAGGTAGAGATAATTCATTTTTATGTATGTGTGTGTGTCTATATAGCACATTTGCATAAAATGTCTTTGTATGGAAAGAATCTGTCCACATATCTCTGAATCTATAAGTCTTTGACCAATACACTAAAATACAGATTTTAAATATGTTATACACTCGCTACTTAAAAACATCTTTTTAGTCTTCTCCATTATTCCTATGCTTTTTCCAATCCTTTAGAAAAACTGTTGAAGAACCTTGCTTTGTGTATAGAAGAGTACATTTCGATGGCAACAGCAACACAAAGTGTTGAAATTGATTAATGGAAACAGTGCAAGTACAAAGAGCTGCATATAAGCACCTTTTTTTTCAGCTGATGTTTCAGCATACTCTAGCTGGAGTGTCTTATGAAACCACAGCTTCCCTTTCCCACTTGTTAAAAAGAAGCAGGTGGCAATAGGATGTTAAGGACCAACCATGATTTTTTTCGCTGCTCCGTCAGCTATGCTGAGCATTACACCAGCTGGGTCAAGCAATGTGACCTAGAGGTTTTGGGAGAAAATGGTTCAGGCTTTTCTTGGCTGTGGATGGACTTCTGCACAGGGGCATGGAGGTGGTGATAGGACTGCATTCTGAGCCGTCATTCAGGCAAAATCTGTATCAGTTTCAAATGGGTATGCAGAAGCAAGACCCAGGGTTTGCCCTCAGAATTAGAGGGAAGCAGTAGGGGAGAGCAGGCAGCTGGCTGATGAACATTATTTGTTGTCAATCCTCATGTTTACTACATAATCTGGATTCCACAGGTAACACCTTGCAGTGACATGGTCCTTTGCCATTATGTCTGCCTCTGTGTTCTCCCTCTTCTTTCACACAGTGGGTAGCAGATGGAAACCCTTCAGATGTACATGTAGGGTCAAGAGAGTACCAATATGGCTCTGCAGATGGCTTTCAAATAGCCACGGGACTGGACACCATCTGGGAAACCAGAAAAACCTTGTGGAAACCAGACCTCAGGCTAGAACTGTCCCTGCCCAAAGTTGTGACTCACCCCAGGCAGGAGAGTGAGATAGTACTCTTGTTTCTGATGAATGACTACTTGGTTCTGCAAACGAATGTAAGGTAGGTACCTTTCCCCCAAGTGAATGCACTGCAAAATGGAATCAGTATTTTTTTCCTAAATGCATCAACCACAGAAATTTCAGTAAATTCAGTTTGCTCTTTTTACAGTGCCGAATGAAAATGTCAAACCAGCACAACTCAATTAGAGGAGAGGAAATAAAGCAACATGCTGAATACTAGCAAGTTATTCATGAAATACTTCAAATTGCCAATGCTGTAACTACCTGTGGGAAATGAGAACAGACGAGCATAGATTCAGCTGTGGGAAAATTCACTCAGAGCAACTTGTTTGCAAAGTTTTAAAATTCAGTTTTTCATCCCATCTGAGCTTTATAGACTGGTTGCACCCTTCAGTCTGTTACTGGTTCTGCTATTTTTTTAGGTAAAAAGAATTGAGAGGGAAAGAATTGGACTTCATGCATTTGGATTTTAAAAAAGTAAAGGAACTCGTTATTTTTTCAATGCAATATTGTTTTGCATTTTACTGTTCTTAAAAAAAAAGATGTTGCCCCAAAATCCTTTCTACAGAGACCATATTGCTGCTGAATAATTTTTCTTTTCATTTTTAAGCAGAGATAAGTACCTTATTCCATTTTTTAATGATGCTGAGAGATAAGGTGCAGTGACTTTAGTGTCACATGAGGTTGTATCTGAGTGCTTTATATCGAATGAAAAGCCAGATATTTCCAGTGAAATAACTAGCTTTATTTATTGCAAAGGCAACAAATTCAGAATCTCTTCACAATTAGTAGGAGACATTAAGTAACTCTAAGAAATACACTTGGTATTCATGCAACACATTATTTTTTAAAAGTAATAATAACTGTTTGAGCCACAGTTGGGAAATCAATGACTAGAGTTATTGGCTCTAATGACTACATGTACAGATTACCTCTGAGTAATATGATTCTTCTAAAGGGTAAGCTATTAAATCCTGTAATTTGTGCATATTTTTTATTTTCTCTATTGCCATGGGAAGGCAGGAGCTGGGAAAGCAAAGGTCATGAGGTCTGGTTGCATCTTTTGAAGAGCTGGGTAAAGTAGTACATGTCCTACAGATCTTTACCTCTGCGCCTGAAGATGAATGTATGGAGTTTGAGCACAAGGTGCTGGTAAAGCTGGTACAGCAATACTGCGGTAGGACTGGGATTTAAAAGATATATATACTATCATGACATATCCATATCATGATACTAGTCTCATGCTCCATTTAGGGCTGTTGATGTGGTTTGCCTTGATCTTGCTGTGCCTTGGCTTTCATTCTTTTCTCTTCTCTCCTCAGGGCTGTACTGGTGCTCCGTATAGCACCAGCACTCAGGTGGGAGAAGGGCTAGAGGCAAACAGCGCTTTTCTTCTCTTCTCCATCACATTGCTTACTCTTCCCAGCAAAGCAGCAGAGCAGAATTGGCCGCCTCATCTGCAGTTGTGGGGTCCCAGGAGAGAGGTGTGCTTGAAAAGGGAATCCCGTATGCTAAAAAGTAACCTGCAAGATGAGGAAAGTCCCAGCAAGTGCAGCGTCTCCCCGTGATAAGCTTTGGGGTTTATCATGGATGATCTCAGTCCTCCAGTGGGATTGTCTAGGAAGAAAGAAGTGAAATAAGAAAGAACCCTGCAATCCTCTGAATTTCTACTGACCTCTTCTTCAAAAGCTGTAACAGCACTGCAGAATGTGGGAGCAGTGTGGCACTTGTTTGATATCAGCATCATGAAAAATTCAGCCCAGTCCACCCATCCACTGTTCTGAGTTGGACGAACGCACACCATGGCCGTGTTGTTGACAACAGTGTAAGTGAGTCTGTTGGGGTCACAGATGTAAAGGAAATGCCTGTTTTTTTTGCTAGAACTGAGGGAATAGATGCAACCACTGCTGGGAGTACCCAGTTCTTATTCCACAAAAGCCAGGCTGTGAACTCAGCCTCTGGCAAAATAAGAGCCATCCAAGCTCCTTTCTGGCAACTTGAGTTTCAGTCATATCCTGCCAACATTTTCTCATTTTAGTTACACAGAGGAAAAATGCCAGAATTCACTCAGGATGATTTTATAGCAGGCAAGAGTTTGTAAGATGTGGTCTCTAATATGTTAAGTGGATTCACTTCTCATTGACTAGCTGGAGATTTGAGAGCACTTAGCTCTTTCCAGGATGGAGATCTAAAGAGTGGTCAGCAAGAAGTAGTGTGCTACCTCCTGCATAGCATTGCCTGTACCTAAGCTGTGTTCATGCTTGGAAATATGGAGGTAAATGCACCTAAGCCAACACTTTAGGGATGTTCATTTTGTGTGAGAGACAAAACTCGTATGCACAAATTGCATTTGTCATCTCATTTCTTTCCAGGTAAAAAATCTGAGAGTTCAATCTGAAATGTGAAAACTTTATTCTTAACAATCCCCACCATATTTAATTGTCCAACATGTAATTTACTTTATCTGATGCAGAGCAATTGTTCATAATGCAGACCAAAGCATGTCTGTCCCTTTCAATAGCTGCAAACCTGGAACTGGAAGAAATTCTCACTGTAAACCCAATCCTCTCTCAAAGCTTAACCTTCCACCTCTGAAGAGTTATACTACCACTTCAGATGCAGAAGCTTTCTCCTCTCAGATGCGAATATGAATCCCAGACCTGTAGCACAGCCCCACCTTCAATGTTAAGGCAATAAGTAGAAGGGATGAAACTGTGAGGAAAATAAATAGCTATAAATCTTCAAGTGACCAGGAGTCTTGAGTGGTGTGACCTAGTGTTTGGCCAACTCAGATACACATGCTGCCTTGGCAGACCTTGGCGCTTGGAAGAATGCAGATATTTGGAAATTCATCCAGCCAAGAAGGGCTTAGGGGGAGGGTGAAACTTCCCTGGAAGTGTTAGAGGCCAGGTTGGATGACGTTTTGAGCAAGCAGATCTAGTGGAAGGTGTCCCTGCCCATGGCAGGGGGATTGAATCTAGGTGATCTTTAGGGTCTCCTCCAATGCAAACTATTCTGTGATTCTGTGAAAAAGCTGGCACATTGTGTGTGGCAGATGGTCATGGGCTATTTTCAGGTGTATTAACTGCATTTTTTTGAAGATGGAGTGATCATATCACTTAGGAGAGGGAGAGAGTCTAGGTCACTCATGGGAAAGCAATGTGCAAGTTTGGGTTAATTACTGACAGCCATTTGGCCTGGGCAGGGGCAGGGAAGTGAAAGGGAAGTAGAAGAGGATGGGGCTGGCATTCTGGAACTGCAGAGCAAATCTCTAATTCTTACACCCTCTTCCTCTCTGACTCCACTTCTCATTCA